GCTGAAAGTGACAAGTCTCATACCTACACCATCTCGTCTATGGAGCCATGGCTTCAGCTTTATAGCTGAGACATGCTGCCAGGAAACCTAATAAAAGGAAGCAAAAAGGTTTCTGTTTATATCAAGCTGCCATTTGAGAAAGACTTTTAAATATGTTCCTCCCGATGTGTAAATCTGACAGCAGTTGCATAATTAAAATCCCACTGGAGAGTTTCCTTTTAATCTTTACAAAGTAAACCAATAAAACATCCTTTAGGATGTCAAGTGATGGATTAATACTCTTTGAATGGTTTAAATATCTTTGAGCTAGAGCACTGCCTTCAAGAATATTGCAATATTGCTTACTACTAAGAAGATACAAGCCACCATCTTTATCTTTAGGAGTTCATGTAGTCACGGGGCACACAGGTAATGACATGCCAATGGCCACATGTGCATCTATGATGAGTTACTTTGTTAAATGTAGAGGTGAATAAATGGATACATTCACATGAAAACAAACTCGATTTCAACCCCTTCGGAATATTGTGGCATAGCATAAGTGGGATAAATAATAATTACCGAGGGTTCAGTTCAGTGTAAGCAATCAATATGAGTAATTTAGACCACAAAATTGGATTTTATTTGCTTGAGCTATTCAGATTGAACTATTCAGCTTCAGCGACTGTTGAACAATCATAGGCAAATTTCCTCACGGGGTCAGTGCTGTGTGGACACACATTTGTGTTCATACAGTTTCAAGCTGCCCAGCTCTGGATATGGGGCTCTGTTCACGCCAAATGCCAAGACAAACATTTCATCTCATCATGATATTTCATTTAGCTCTCGATACATACAGCCACACCTGAACTTTCCTTCTATGTCTCTTTCTAGCTGAAGGTCCATTTCTGCCCCTAAACACACACACACACACACACACACACACACACACACACACACACACTGAGAGCAAGTGGCTTCTGTCCTTGGACCAGAGTTTACTAGACTGTTTTCCACTTGCTAGCATTGCAGTCTCTGATGACCTTTTCGGTTGGATCTTGCCTTCCCAGCTGTCTAAGACCTGCCAGATGCTTCTAGTCAGACTGACCTTTAAGATAAGCCTGTTTCTACAAGTTTTCTCTGGACTTAATTAGTTAGCAGCCTGATCAACAATGCATCCTCCTGCCCCCCACACACACACCCATCATCACCCATTATTTTTATTGTTGTTGCTAATCTTCGTCTAAGGATATTTTCTCCATTGATTTTAGAGAAAGTGAAAGGGAGGGAAGGATGAGGAGAGAGAGAGAGAGAGAGAGAGAGAGAGAGAGAGAGAGAGAGAGAGAGAGAGAGAGAGAGAGAGAGATGTGAGAAATTGGTTGCCTTCTGCACATGCCCTAACTGGGGCTGCGGATCGAACCTGCAATCCAGGTACATGCCCTTGATTGGGAATCGAACCCGTGATCTTTCAGTGCCCAGAGTCAACACTCTAACCATGGAACCACACTGGCCAGGGCCACACATCCATTATTAAATACTTCAGTTTCAAACAAGAACATGTAACCCAATGATATGCATGCAATTGGTAGAACAAACACTATATAACTTGGATTCTGGACCCAGCTGAACACACAATTAACTGTGATCTGAGACAAGTGCCCTAACATTCTGAGCTACATGGGACTGGGCCAAAGGTCCCTTCCTTGTTCTAATCATCTTTCCAGTGGCCCATGTTGGAATATGCTTTCACCTTTGCCTTGTAGAGTAAGCTTTAATTATTCACAACATAGCACCAGGTCTGACATACACAATGCATCATGTTTATGTAATGAATGAAGGAAGGGTTTTTCTGTACTGAAGTCTAGATGAATCAGTTAGCTGGGTTTGCACAGCGCACACTCAAAATGTTCACACGGCTGCACGGACCATTCATGCTGTGATAGTCGCTAATCACATAAAACTGAGTGCATGCTAATTTCTCTCTTCCCTGGACAAGGTAGCAGACAGAGAATCCTGGTGCCCATTTTGGACTGAGTTTTGCCTCCCTGAGCTGCTGAATCCATAAAAGCAGCAGTAATAGTAATCATCGTCTCTGAAGACTCAGGGCATTTAAGGGGAAGGAAGGATGTGAGCAGAAAGACGATCACTGTGTACATAAGTAGGTCTTTACTTAAATCGCATCCAAGTTCATTTTGCAAGAGAAGGCTGAAGTGACAATCACGCTCCTTTGGGATTCAGCAGAACTTGTCTGACCACTGCCCCAGATCATGCGACTGGTGCTGCTAATCTTGGCAGCCCCTGCAAGGGGCTCGTACAATGCTGAGCTGTCCCCGGGCTGGTTCTGGTCCCTGAGTGCAGCCCCTCTCAGAGATGAATGTTTTCCTGGAGCAGATTTTGGAAAACAACGCTGGGTCATTCGTAACACAGCCACGCGCTTCAGTGTAGCCCTCCTACACTACTTGCCTACATCCAAAAAAAACACAAATCAAGAAAGAGGACACAGTTCTTTTCCACCTGACTGAAGAACAGCCATTCCTGCCAGTAGATTAAAGGCCGGGGCTTGGAACCATTTGCCAAAACACCGACTTGGTTTTTGTGTGCAAAAAGCCTGAGAGAAGCTTTAGAAGCCGAGGCTGGGCGGTGAATGAAAAAATGGATGGGAGCTTATCAGAGAAGCCCAGAGACAGCAGGTCCCAGGAAAGGGGCCCGATCAGTATGAGCTCACAGCCCACAGAGAAAGAAGATCCTGCTAACACCATTTCCTTTGTCACTGGGAGAGAAATGCTGTGGCCTCCCCATATGTGCACAGGTGTGTGTCTAGGTGGAAGAGAGCAAAAGGGTGTGTTTGCAAAAGGAGGCGCACAAATCAATAATGAACACATGATGTCATCCTTCAGGACTAAGCATCCTTAGTACTTTTAAAGCACTCTAGTTGCTATAGCAACTTGATGCAGCTCGTCAAATGGGATTTTTTTGAGGGGGTCATTTTATATCTTCAATCACCATAACAACATGATATGGCCTTTAAAGGGTATTTTTATCCAATTTGTGCATTGGAATTGGGCCATATTTGCCTTTTTTTTTTGTTTTAAAATAATCAGATCAAGCATGACACATGAAAAATCATTGAAGGAAAGGAAGCCCTTTACTAAACGATACAAACACACTGAGCGAGACACCTCCAGCTGCTCACATCCTGCGCATGGATGCCATCTTTCTGCCTCCCAGCAGCTGTCTGTGATGGCTTATGCTGGTCAGTTAGTCCGTGACCCCGAGCCTAGGCTGGCATACCAAACCAGACCAGAACCCACCCATGGAAGGTGTGACTATGATTTCCCTCACTTCTCAGTGAGTCCAGCCCCCTCCTCCAAAACTACTAGAGGTCCAACAGCCTGGTGCCTTCTCCTACTTGGGGTCTCCAAGCAAGGGTGGATTGGACACACACACAATTCGGCCAAAATGAAAAGCTTGGGTTAATTCTGCACCCTGCACAGTAACTGGAAAGGAGGTCTGTCTCATGCGACACTCAGGGGCCAGGGAGAGGGGAGAAATGGGGAAAGTGCATAAAAGGAAAGGAGAGGGTGGGGGTGGTGTGGGGAGCAGGGATGGCTCCTGGATCTCCATGGAAGAAGCTCAGAGGAGGGGGGAGGGGAGAAAGTAGGGGGCCTCAAGGAATACTTGCAAAACATTTTTGTAAGGATGTGAAATTATGAGCTGTTTATACCAAAAAGAAAGAAGGAGCCTGGCCAGCATGGCTCAGTGGCTGTTTGATTCCCGGTCAGGGCACATGCCTGGGCTGCGGGCTTGATCTCTAGTGTGGGGCATGCAGGAGGCAGCCAATCAATGAGTCTCTCTCATCATTGATGTTTCTATCTCTCCCTCTCTGAAATCAATAAAAATATTTAAGAGAGAGAGAGAGAGAGACCTAACTGGTTTGGCTCAGTGCATAGCCATCGGCCTGCGGACTCAAGGGTCCCGGGTTCAATTCCAGTCAAGGGCATAAACCTTGTTTGCAGGCACATCTCCAGTGGGGGGTGTGCAAGAGGCAGCTGATGGATGTTTCTCTATCATGATGTTTTTAACTCTCTATCCCTATCCCTTCCTCTCTGTAAAAAAGCAATAAAATATATATATTTTAAAAAAAAGAAAAAGAAAAAAGAGAGAAGGCACGATGGAAAGTATAGAGCTAGTACCCCCACCGTGCCCAAGTTACCCCTTGGTGCCACTATTGATTGGAAAAAGTGACAAGGTGACACAGAAGAGAAGTCGAGAAATTGGAGGGAAAGTTGGGGTGGGGGGAGGGCGTGCAGAGGAGGGAGGGAAAACAAAGGGTGGCCCTGAACAAGAGCAGCTGAAGTCTGGCCTCCAAGTCGCCAGCTTTTCTGGGAGGAGGGGGCAGTGTGAACTCCAGGAAAAGCAGGCGGGAAGGGGATCCAAGAAAGAGATTCTGGGAAGAGTGGTTGCATTCCTCTGGTTAAAGGGCTCGAGGATGCTGCGGGGACAACGCGTGGGGAAAAGGGGGGGAAAAAGAGAAGAGGAGAGTAAAACGCTGTGAGTGGAGAGAAAGGACTTTCCAAACTATAGGAGGAAACTGAGGCCGAGGGGGAGGAGGGAGAGTGAGAACTAGGAAGGAAGCAGAAAGCCCATGTGCACCCAAGTCCTTTCTAGAGGAAAAACGGAGTCAGTCGCACAGAGGTTCATGCATGGAGCTGGCAGGTGCTGGAGCGCAGGCGGCCCCGGGGTCTGCCACCTCCCGGGTGAGGGTTCCACCACATCCGGCCACGCTGTCAGGCGAGTCTCCGCTGGGTAAGCCCAGGGATGGGCCTCCCGCACTAAACCCCAGTTAAGAGAGAGAGCGGAGGACCGGGCGGAGAGGAGAGGGAGAGAAGAAAGTAGGCAGGGGGGCACTGGAGGAGATGGGGTAGCTAGCTGATGGACGCGGGCTCGGCCCCGAGCAGCGGAAAAGGGCGGCCTGGGGTGCAAGGCGCGGAGAGGAAACGCGCGCGGGGCGCGCAGCTCACCTATGGTGGAGACCACGGTGCCCACGAAGTAGAAGGCGCCGGGGAAGTCCCAGCGCGGGCGCAGCGCGTCGGCGCGGACGCCGGCGGCCAGCGCGGCCTCGTAGTGCCGGAGGAAGGCGCGCAGCTCGGGCTCCGCCACCCCGTGCGCCGCGCTGAAGTTGCGCAGGGTGGCGCCCCAGCGCGCCCGCGCCTCCGCCTCGCCGGGGCTCTCCAGCGCCGAGAAGACCGTGGCGCCCGCCACCAGGTAGAGGCCGATGAGCGCCGCCAGCAGCACGAAGCGCCCCGTGTCCTCGTTGAGGTGCGAGCGGCGGCAGCAGCAGCAGCAGCAGGAGGAGGAGGGCCGCGGCAGGCGGCGGCGGCAGCGGCGGGGCGGGGGCCGGGGGCTGCGGGAGGACATGGTCCGCAGCTCAGCCCCGGGGCCGGGGCGGTGCTCGGGGCCCGGGCCGCGGCATCCCCTCCGCGGGAGCAGAAACGTGAGGATGGTGGCCGGGGGTCCGGGGCTGCTGCGGAGCCCCTCACAGTCTCTCCAGAGCCTGGACGGACGGCGGGCGCCTCCGCCTCCTTCTCCTCCTTCTCGGCGCTCAGGCCGCCGCGCACGGGTCCCGCGGCCCTTCCGGAGCCCGGGCTGGGGCGGCGCTGGTGTCCTTGCCCCGACGACTCGCTGGCCCCCGCGGTTCCTCACCCGCCGCCGCCCTAGGGCGCGGGGCGCTGCAGCTGGGTCCCCGCCGCCCTGTGGCCGGGGTCCGCGGGGCCCGGGGCCGCATGCTCCCCTCCGGTCAGGCCGCGGGCTGCGGCGGGGCGGGCTGGGCGCCCGGGCGCCTAGGACTGGGGCTTGGCAACGGGGCGCGCACAGAACCCTTGGGGGCGTCCCATCCGGCGTTCCCGGGCCCGTCCAGCTCCCGCCCCCGGGGTCTGAGCTAGCGGCGTCCGCTTCTCAGCCTCAGCTCGGAGCTTAGTCCTGGGGAAGCGCTCCCTTCCTTCCCAGCTCCAGCCAGAGAGCCGCCCAGCACGGAGAGGCGGAGTCACCAGCCTGGGGCGGGTGTTGGGGTGCGGGTGGGGTGGGGGAGTAGGGAAGAGAGGAAAGGGGTGGGGAGTTGTGCTGCAGCGATGCCTCCCGCCTCCCTGTCGCTCCGGCGGCGGCGGCACTAACGCGGGGCATCAGAGCAGGTGTCGAGACTGCGGTGCTTGCTGCCACCCCGCCGGGGGCGCTTCGGCTCCAGAATCCCTCACTGATCCCCAAGCTGCGGCCAAACTTTGCTCCATGGGATGATGCCCTGCGGCCTAGGGGCTGGGGGCCCCAAGACACAAAATCTCCTCATACCGCGTCTCTCGGGCTCCAGTCCGAAGTTTTAAGTTTCCTCTCGCTCGCTTCTGCTTCCTGGACCCATACGCAGTGCCAGGTCTCGGAGGGTTCCTTTGGGGGGAAATGATCCCGTTTGGGGAGGAGTTGGGGCGACGGAGGAATGAGGGCCACGGAGCGGGGCGGCCCGCGTCAGCACCGTCAGCACCGCGGACAGCGCATCGGTGCCGCAGCCGCCGGCGGCGGCTCGCGGGCTGCAGAGACCCGCGGTGCGGGGAGAGGCCGGTCACCCTGCTGCGCTGTGTTTTCCCCAAACGCTCTCTCTTCCTTTCTACCTCTTATCTCTCCCCCATCGGGGGCAGGCGCGGTCACTGATGCAGCGTGCTGACAGGGCGGGGATGCTGAGCACTAGAGACAGGGTTGGAGTCCAACATGAATAGGGGACCCAAGTGCCACGGGAGGAGGAGGAAGCGTCCAGGCTTCTCAGCCTCAGCACCGAGTTTAGACCTCCTCTCTTGTTGCTTGGACCTCCTCTCCCGACCCAGCTCCAGGGACCCAACAGCCCAGGGTCGAGAGCCTGAATAAGAATCTGGCTGCGGCAGGGTGTTACAGGAGGTGTACAGAGAACTCATTGACTGCCCCCCCCCCCTTCACCCCGTGCCTGTAGGTGAGGGGTGTACTCTGAGGGGGGGGAGGGGGAGGCGTCATCGCCCCATCTGCCCTGCGGCTACTGGAGAAACGAGGGCACTCTTTGCTATTTTTGCAAGAGTTCTCTGCCCGTGGGTTGCAGGCTGGGTCACAAAGTTCTGTGGTGAGGAACACCCCTTTTCTGTCCATTCTCCCTTCCACAAGAGAGGGAGACCCTGATGACGATGAGACGACACAGATGACAGAAGATGAAAGATAATAATGGTGCCCTCCCTGGTTTGGTTCAGTGGATAGAGCTCGCCCACGGACTGAAGGGTCCTGGGTTCCATTCTGGTCAAGGTCAGGAACCTCGGTTGCAGGCTCCATCCCTGGCTCTGGTTGGAGCTCACGTGGGAGGGCATCAATGGAAGTGTCTCTCTCAGACTGATGTTTCTCTCTCTCTCCCCCTCCCTTCCACTCTCTCTCTAAAAATCAGTGGAAATGCTTGGGTGAGGATTAACAAAAACAAAAAGGTAATAATGGTGGCTGCTTAGATACCCTAGGTTGGTGAACTGTGGCAAAGTGCAAACCTGACCCACCACTCCAAATACCTGGCTGTCTGGTCTCCACCCTAAAAAATACTCAAGGTAAGGTCGACCCAGACTGGCAATAGTGTCAGTCCCCTAAGGATCAGGGTGCTCACAGTGGCCCACCATCCTCTGACCCCATGCCCCAAGTGGTTACAGGGGGCCAGAGGGAGGAGGAGCTGTCTGGAAGCTGAAAGGCATCTGACTTAGAACGATGATTTTTTTTCAAATCAGGACACACTGGCGTCTTGGATCATCCTAGAAATGTTTCCAGTGTGTAGATGGAGCCAACTGCTACTGTGTTAGGGAGGGGACCGATAGGGAGAGACATCACCACCACCATCGTCACAACCAGGCACCTTGGCACTGGGTGGCATGCGGCTAGTTTTGCAATGATTTTCTTAGAAAGGGGCAGAGGAACCTTTGTGTGAGTGGGGAAAACATCTCATCAGTGGTGGGAGCCTTATACAAGCACACATTATTGCCACTGCAGCAGACTATTGTTACTCTTGGCAAAATGTATTTCAATCTTCAACATCTATCTATCATCTATCTATCTATCTATCTATCTATCTCTCCCCCAAACCAAGACTTTGGCTCCCCTAGGCTCCTCACTGGTATCATCCCAGCCAGTTCCCCTACCCCCATCTTTACAAGCTCCTTCAGGCAGGGAGGATGGCCCAGATATGAACCTCCGAGGCCAGATTCCACTTGACTGGCCAAGCTCGGACAGAAGTCCTGAGAAATGTCACTCCAGAAGCTTGCCCTGGAGTCCCTGGTGCAGCTGAAAGACACTGTCAGACCTCCCAGACTCCCAGGGCAGGGACAGAGTGCTTCCCTGCAATGCTCTGTGCCTCCAGACCAGCTCCTTGCCCAGTTGGCAGGGGCCTGCCTCATTCCCCAGCTTGTTATTCTAGCCTGACTAACGTCAAACCTCTGGCATCAATTTCCACTCTGAATGACCTAATCAATTTTTATAATAGCAAAATGATGAGTTCCCTGTCCATAAGCATAGGTCCTTTGGGGAGCCAGCCCCATGATGAATGACACTTTTGCCCACTGAAGCAACATTTAAGTCACTGAATTCCAGCTGGCTATCCTAATGCTTTTGCTTCAGCACTAAATTGCTATGATAGCTTCCTAAGAATAGGGGCTAGCTACCTCAGGCCTCTCCCCACTTAGGTCTGTCTTGCTTACACCTGCCAGTCTTTGCTGTGATCATGCCCATTTGATCTGATTAAGTGACTAATGTCCCTAAACCACAGTTTCCAATGGCTCCCCCAAAGCTATAAAAAAAATTTAGTCCTGCCAAAACCGGTTTGGCTCAGTAGATCTTCGGACTGAAAGGTCCCAGGTTCGATTCCAGTCAAGGGCATGTACCTTGGTTGCGGGCACATTCCCAGTGGGAGGTGTGCAAGAGGCAGCTGATCGATGACTCTCTCTCACTGATGTTTCTAACTCTCAATTCCTCTACCTTCCTCTCTGTAAAAAATCAATAAAAAAAAATATATTTTTTAAATTTAGTCATTTAACACTTGAGGTTATGATTCCCAACAGATCATTCCAGCCTCACCCTCCCCTACATTCTACTTAACCCCCCTTGTACTCCATACTCAGCCCAATCGCCAGCCCTTTGCTTCTCTTATTGACCTTGTTAGAATGCTATCTTCTTTCTCCTCCTCTTCAAGTATACTAGTACAGCTCAACTCAGGCTAGACCTTTCTGCCAGTAAGCTCTTTCTTTGTGGGATGTCTTGACCCAAACACTTTGATACCATCACTGCAATCCTAAAATCATTTAATTCTGCCATGCCCTCAAGAACTTTAGGCAAGATGTGAGTTCTCCCTCGGGGAGCACGCCCATGCCTTTCTCTCCCCCCTCTGCTTCCCCCACAGGCTCACATCTCCTAAACTCTAAGGGACCTCCTGAGACTTACAACCAGGGGAGCAATGGGCAGCAGCAGCTCTTTCCAGGCTAATCCCCTAAACCTGTTCCTAAGGCCCCCTTTTCTCTGACTCTCCAGTGAGCCAACAGTGGCCCCACCTTGGCTCACTTCTTTCCCATAACTTTTATTTAGACTTTTATTATATAGGATTGCCCCAAAGTGGAAGCAACTATATGTCCATGATGAATGGATAAGTACAATGTGATATAACAGCAATTTTCAACCAGTGAGTCACAAGAATTATTAAAATTTGCAACTATTAGTCAGGAGCACTGACCTCTTTTTCTTTAGACTGTCAAATAAAAAAAATTAAAACAGTCAACACAACAATAGTCACCTGGGTGAATGAATCAAAATTATACCTATTTTCTTTGGTCAGATCAGCAAAAAAAGGTAACGTGTGTGTGTGTGTGTGTGTGTGTGTGTGTGTGTGTGTGTGTTTATTTTTAATGTTTTTTTATTGACTTTTTTTTAAGGGAGAGAAATATCCATGATCAGGAGAGAAACATCAGTCAGCTGCCTCCTGCATGCCTTCCAATGGAGATCTAACCCACAGCCTGGGCATGTGTCCTGACAGGGAATTGAATGGGCAACCTCTCAATACATGGGAAAATATTCAAACAATTGAGCCACACTGTCCAGGGCAAAAAATGTCATATAATTTTTGGTGTGCCACAGAATTTTAGTAATTAGTTTATGTGTGCCATGAGATGAAAAAAGTTGAAAATTGCTGTGATTTAACTATACAATAAAATATTCAACAATAAAAATGAATGAAGTACTGATACATGCTACAACATGAGTGACTCTTGAAAGTATAATACTAAGTGTAATAAGCCAGTCACAAAAGATGACATATTATATGATTTCATTTGTATGCGATGTCCAGAATAAGAAAATCCATAAAAACAGAAGTAACTTAGTAATTGCTAAAGGCTGGAGAGTTGAGAAGGAATGGGAGTGATTACTAATAGGTATGAGGTTTCTTTTGAGGGTGATAATAATATTCTAAAATTGATTGTGGTGATGATTGCACAGTTCTGTGAATATGTTAAAAAGCATCAAATTGTATTGCTAAGTGGTTGAATTGTATGGTTTGTGAATGATGTATCAATGAAGCTGTAAGAAAAAAAAAACAAACACAAAAAAATCCACACAAATACAGTCCTAACCAGCTTGGCTCAGTGGATAGAGTGTCGGCCTGCGGACTGAAGGGTCCCAGGTTCGATTCCAGTCAAGGGCATGTACCTTGGTTGCGGGCACATCCCCATTATGTGCAGGAGGGAACTGATAAATGCTTCTAACTCTCCATCCCTCTCCCTTCCTCTCTGTAAAAAATCAATAAAATATATTTTTTAAAAACCCACACAAACAAATACAATTGTGAGCAAATCTTTTTTGAAAAGAAAATAGAAAATAACTTATCCCCAAGAAAATGATTTCTTTAAAATAGAAATATAGAAACAATTTAATCATGCTAAAGAGAACATTGATAATGAAACTAAAGGACTTTGCTCCATAAATTACTTTCTCTTAAAAATTATTCTGTATTGGTAAGATTTTGATGGAAAATTATGCATTCCAGGTAGCAGACGCAAAATGTCCTGGGTGCTTCTAAACTCTTTGATCTTCCATATGTCAGAACTTCACTAATATTCATTGTCTGCATTACTTATTAGCAGTTAGTTGTGTAACAAGCTATCATAATTTATTTAAATGTCATATATATGTGTGTGTGTGTGTGTGTGTGTGTGTGTATAATAAAAATATAATATGCTAATTAACCAGACAGTGTTCTGGACATCATTCCGGATGTCCTTCCCCACAAAAACCACAGCTGTGGGGGCCAAGGCAGAGGGTGATTAGGCAGGCAGGCAGGTGAGCGGTTAGGAATCAGTGGTCCTGGATTAAGAGACTGGCAGTCGTATATTCCCTGAGGTGTC